ACATGAGTCTTGACACTTTAACTCTCTGGAGGGAAAATAACTGAGTGGACGTAGTTGAGCGGCTACTCTTTGCTTCTCTAGGCGGCCGCGGCCCTTTCCTGACATGGCACCCTGGTGACACCCGGGTGTATTTAGTGGCGTCTGCAGGGACCTCCGCTCTGACGGGAGAGTTCACCTGGGCTGGCCCCTGTAGCCGTTTGACTAGAATCTTCCTGAAAGTGTCGTTTCTGGTATTACACAATGAAGGCAGAGATGCCTTCTACTCTTCAGTGCCTAGAAGAATGCTGTGTTATTCTGTGGTGTCTGGTAAATGCCCAGACATTTTTTATTAACCAGCTGTGGCATGACGCCGTAAGAATGCGGAGTCAGATAGCCTTGATCCGGTCCCAGCCCCGGATCGCCTGGCACTGAGCCTTGACAAGCCCTCGATTTCTCTGCTTCCCTTTGCAACTTGCAAAATGGCATGAATAATAAATAGCTGCTGGGTCACTGATGAGCCAGTGCATTAAGTGAGCGGGTATCTCTACAGCGGCTCGCTACAGAGTCAATCCGTCGAAGGCGGTGTCTTGTCTATGAATGTGGTGAATTGGGGGGCGGTAAGTGCATCCACAGGAGAGGAAAGGGGCCTGGCACTGGTGCTTCCAGAAGCTCACTGAGAAGAAAGAACAGTGACCTTAGAAGGGATTTGACAGAAGAAAAGGCTGGGGAGTGGGTGGAAGTTAGGCAGGAATCTGGAGCAGGCTGCCCAGAAAGGGCTGTTTTTGCCCGTTAAGGGATGCCTGGGTCACTCCCACATTCTCGGGGGGCTGGGCCCTAAATCATGGTTTTGACCATGTGATGGAAACCCCTTTGTTCCCTTTAGAGGTCTTCGGGGGCCAGATGTCCCCAGTGAGCCCTACAAGACAACTCACGTAGTGGTGGTTACTGTGATGGAGTGAGATAACAGGCCCTTCACCTGTTTCCCTCGTCCCTAGATTCTCACGCAAGCTAAGAAGTGCACCTGACACCTTACACCGTGATTTGATTTCTTATCGCTGTGGTTAGTGGGGCACCAAGTCAGTCTAATCCAATGTAGAAAATAATGTGGTAGAGGGGCCTCCCCGGTGGCGCAGTGGTTGAGCGCTGGGCTGCAAAGCTGGCCGCAGCCTCTGCAGCGCTGGTTTGATCCCCGGCTGCCGGCGAGGGTCCTCTCCTGCCACCCGCTGCTCTCCTCAGCAGTGCATTTCTTCGTCAGTCTGCCTGTTCTGCTCCCCGCTCTGGCTCTGGTGAATTCTCTCACCCTCTTGCGCTTCTGACTGTACCCAGTGCTTGTACAAATAAATAATAAATCTTTAAAAAACAATGTGGTAAATGAAAGCCAAAACGTTTCGGTAGAGATGTCCTTGTAGATGATGATTAATTAGTAAGTACTCAAAAAAGTGAACCTGCATTCTCCATCTTTCTGTTTACCATTTCAAACTTGAAGCCAACAGCAGTACTGTGGCCTGCTGCCATTTGTAAGCCTCACGATGAAAGATTTCCGGGGAAGAGGGACGCACGTGGAGCCGATGGGGCGGTGGGGCTTGCTTTCCACCTGCTCCGCATCGTGGCCTCATCGCGATGGAGGAGTTCTGGGAAGGCCTTTTCATCCCCCACTTGTCTCTGAGTGTGGCTGAGAGCAGCATGTCTTCCTGGTACTTTCCTCTGGGATTATTCTGCTTACTGAAATCTGCTGTTTTCTTTATGGGTTTGTACAATAAAACTATTTAGATGAGCTGAAGTGCAGCTCCTTTCAGATGCGGTAATTCAAGCTGGCTTTTAGATGGCTGTCTCTAGAATGCAGAGTGCAGAGCAGAATCAACAGCGAGCGGCCCTGTTACGCTGGCCGTCTTTGAAACACTGGAAAGTGTTTTCTGAGCTTGGCAGCCTCCCGAGAGACGGGCATCAAACAGCTCTGCGGAGGGCTGGCCGATGGCACCGAGGCTGCTGATGTTTGAAGTGTCTCAGTAGAATTGGAAGGAAGAACTGAGTTTTCCCTGAGTGATGAAGCGTCCGCGGCTTCTGATTCGTGTGTCCCCTTGGGGGACTGGATTCCATCAGCCTGAACTTCTCTTCCGCGGGCGTGTAGGGCGGGGCTCTGTGTGTCTGCATCTTGCGGAGGTGCGGGCCTGAGGAGGCGTGAGAGGGAGCGCAGGCTGAGGGTCGGACTCGGCCCCGTTCCCGCTCTGTAGACCTGTGTTCTCCTGAGAGGAGACCCCGAGGCTGGATGTGGGCACAGGCAGCTCCCGGGCAGGTGGCCCTGGAGCACAGGTGAGGGCGGGCACCATGAGATGAGGGATAGAGACCAGCGCCATGTGTTAGCGGTGGATAAGTGGCACAGGGGCCCCCCTCACCCCTCCTGTGTGCTTTGGGGTTCCCCCTGCAGGCAGGTGAAGTTGACCTGTTCTCATGGACTGAATGTCGCCCTCAGCACGTCAAACCCCACCCTTCGAGGGGGCCCCACGGGGAGCTGAACTGCCCCCAGGGGGCCAGCAGAGGCGGCCAGGGCCTGGCCTTGACGTGCGGGCGCTGCGGGCGTGAGTGGGTGCGTGCAGACGGGCTGGGCCGTGGGCCGTGCAGCTGGGCACTGAGAGGAGAGGAGAGGACTGTGGAGCCAGAGTCCGTCTCGAGGAGATCGTCCACAGCGTGCTCTGCCCTTGATGCCTCTGTCAGCCCCGCGGGTGACTGTCACTAGCAAGCGGCAGTGGCTTTCTGGCCCCTGGCGGGACTTGCTTCCTGGACAAGCTGTGCTCGGGGCCGCTGCCTTCTCTGGCCTGGCTGGCTCGTTCAGCTCCGGTCTCTAGTCTGCAGCTCAAGCGTCTCCTCTTGTCCCCATGGACGCCGTGGCTCCTGGCAGGGTGAAAGATGGGTTTTGAAAACCACAGCCCGTCTGGGTCTCATCCCTGAAACCTCCTGCGCATGAGACGGGAAAGAAGCCAGTGATTTTCTACTTCCCCTGATGAGTTGCATTATTAAAATCAAAATAACATCTGGCTTTTATCTTTGTCTTCGTAATTGCCAGTGCACTTCAGTCACCTTCCAGCGCAAAACCCTTGCTTAAGGAAAATCTAAAAGTGTAGTATCAAGAGTCTCTAGAGCTGTTTCTCGTGACATTGTGACAGAACCAGGTGCAGACGGCATGGGCATGAATGGGTGCAGCTGCATTCCAGAAAAGCCTATTTGTGGAGATTGTGGAGTTGGTCCCAAAAAGGGTCAGTGGGTCTTCTCAGTGTGTCCAAAACGGGCCTCTCCCAATAGGTGGCCCCTTCATGGGCACTGAAGGGCGGGTGAGGCCCCAAAAGCCCAGGAGGTTTCCTGTCACTACTTAAGAACACAAGTTATTTTGGGTCAAGAGCAGTGGAAACCCTAAGAACTTTTGATCCTTTGTACTTTCACCTAATCTGAGAAGCAATCGCGATCACTTTTTCGTGACCTAGAGGAGTTTATTTGGACTGGGGAGGGTGCGGGGTGGGGGGAAATTAGGCTGCAGGGTTATCACAGAATACACCTCCCCACTGAGGCACTTGTCTGTACCCTCAGAAAGAGGAATCCTCCCTTGAGTCTCATGCGGCGTCGTGCCTGTCTGTCCTTGATGGCGCCGGTTCTTAAATACCAGGTAAATACCCCCAGTCTGCCTGCTGTTCTTTAGAATTTACAGCTATGAAAGTTCTCAATATGTGTGTTAATAAATTGATATTTTTTCTTTTTATCTGATACTGTTCCGATGATTCATTTAACCCAAGATGAACCCTCGGGGGTGAGGGATTCCCCTGCCGTGCCTTCACAATACTAATATTTGATTTTCATACAATTTTTCTGTCCTAAAAAGAGTCCTAGAACTCTTTAAAAATATTAACCACTTAAAATGCGAAACGTCTTAACCCCTGGGCGCCGAGCTCTTGCGTGCGGAGCATCAGTACTCGGCTCATCGTGAAGTCCCAGATTTAGCCAACTTTAAATACCCTCCTTTCTCTCCTTGGACTTCTGGAAGGCTCAGGCGGCAAGGAACAGCAGGGAGGCACAAAGCCTGAGATGGGCAGCCTGACAGTCTGTCGTGGTTCAGGCCATTGCCACAGCACCATGTAGCTGGTGGCTTTGATGACAGACATTCATTTCTCACAGCCTGGAGGCCGGGGACTCCAAGGTCAAGGCACCCCCAGACGTGGCGTCTCTCTTCCTGGCCCTTCCCTCGCCGGCGCTCGTGGCCCTGTGTCCTCACCTGGAGGGGGAGGGGGCAGGCACCAATCTCATTGTGTGGCTCTACTCCCTTGACTTCCTCTAAATCCAGTTTCTTCCCAAAGGCATTACCTCCAGCCATTCCAGTGGGGAGCAGGCTTCAACACATGCATCTTGGAAAGTCAAGAATGTTCAGTCTAGAGCCAAGTCTTCCAGACAAGGCTTGTCAGTCAAACTTTAATGCAGACTTTGAGGTCTGTTGGCATATGTGATAGTGTTCCTCAAATTCCTAGATGGTGATATTTTGAAAAGATTCAGAATCATGTGTTTAGAATTCCCTGTCTTTATGTAACTCTGATGCTGTCGGCCCCACTCTAGTTCACCCTCTGCCTAGAGCTATTTCCTCGAGGGCCGTATGATTAGTGTTGCACTGGACATCACAGTCCATTCAGAGCCAATAGCGGTGTCTTGCTCCGCAGATGCTGGGGCAAAGGGGCGGTCCTCTGTTTTGATCTCTTTGAGCCAGAGAGACTGTAAGACGGGAACTTTAGCAACAGTCTGGGTGCTGAAAGGTGATTATCTTTGAGCGTCAACTTAACTCCTGAGGGAACCAGAATATGGACAGAAAGGGCCCATCAGACTTGAAATGACCCTCGCCTCACATTTCCTATCACGTATTCCCAATACAGTCCCTGTTTGCTTGTGTTAAAATAGTCCGGATTTCTGTCACTTACAACTTATGAGAGCCCTAATTTATATAGTCTGTTCTGGGTCAAGCAGCTATAATTCCTTATCTTTGAAACCAGCTATGCAAGTGACTGGTCTGCAGAATCGGTGATTCCCCGTCGCGCTGACCTCACCACGAGTGTCCGCATGGCAGAGATGTGGCCGCGAGTGTCAGCGCTTCTGCTGTGACTCCAGCTCCTGAGTGCATCTGAACGCAGGAGGCAGGTAAGAGATGCCGGCCCCTCCTTTCCTAGCAGGGCAGAGGCGGTGTCCTCAAGGTTAAATGACAGGTGGTTCCCCAGGTGTCATGAGTGTGGGGAGACAAAGGAGAATGGCATCCTTTTATTTAGTTAAGTCATTTTATCCTATATTTTAGGTAAGATCTTGTATTCTTAAAAAAAAAAATGAGCCAAATGTTTGCCCTGCACATATGGCTTTAAAAGAAAATAAAAATAAAAGCCCCATTTCCAGCTATCGTTGTGACTTCCCAGGTGCTTGGGAGCGCTGAGTAGCTTTGGAAACCGGGGGCGCTGCGGGGCACAGGCAGAGCCGCCTGTCTTCCAAGCGCAGTTACCCTGGGTCACTCAGCCTGCAGGTCTCGTCCCTACAGCCCTGCAGGACCCAGCGGTGAGGCTGCTGGCTGCCCGGCCCAGGCCACGCCTTGCACACCGCCGGTCCCGCGCACGCCCTCTGACTGTCCCGGTGGTCAGAAGCCTCCAAAATGGGCTTTGAAATGGAATAACAGAGCAGGTTTTCTTTCTTAATGTTTTACTGGGAGTGAATCAGCGCGCGTGAGGAGAGCTGTCTGAAGCGCCCTGCGTGGTGCCGGCGCAGCAGGAGGCCAAGTTTGCGTTGAGACAATAGAATCATCCCGCTAAACCTCAAGTTCTGGTGTTCCCAAGTAGAGTTGGCTCCTCACCTTTTCCTTTTCCTTTTCCTTTTCCTGGAAAATTCCTTTTGGTCCCTCAAGAGAGAAGTTTCTTTGTAAAGTCTTTGGCAGTTTCCACCAGCAGAATTACCCTTCCTTTCTCCAGTGCTCCAGCCAAGTCGGTATACATGCATAAGTATTGTTATTGAAGATGGCAGTGGATAAATCCCAAATTTTACCTCCTGTATCTTCTTGAAGATATTACACGTTGTTTACTTTAGACCTCCACATCTGACAGCAGTGTTTGACTCAGCATATTAGTCAGTATTTGCAGTATTTGTTGGGTAAATGCCTAGATCACCAGGATGCCGCCCGCCCAGAGCATTTAGCTGCTCCTGGATGGTAAGTGTTAGCATAAAGTAAAGAAATGGAAATTAAAAGTTATTTCAAAATCCATTCCCATCTCTACCTCACTGAGGTAGACGATTCAACAGGGTGATCTATCCCTCCACAAGTCCTCCCATCTCCTGTTACTGTTGCTCAGCAACACATCAGCCAGAAACTTAGCACTGACAGAAACAACAGCTCCATCAGCTCTGCTGCAAGTGGCCCTGGCGGGCTTAGCTGGTGGTCTGGCCCCAGACTCTCCCACGGTGCAGCTGGGGCAGGGAGGATTTGGCAAGGGCTGCAGAATGGCTTCCAAGACACATTCCTCGGAAAGTTGTTGGCTGAGGCCTTAGTTCCCAGCTGGTTCTGGGTGGGAGGTCGTGGCCCCGTCCCCAGGGACCCTCTCCTGGGAGCTGCTCGAGGGTCCTCACACCCTGGCTTTCCCCAGAAAAGCCAATTCAATTAAGAGCAAAAAAGAGTGCACGGGGTCGGTGACTGCCCAGCCTCGAGAGTCATGGCCTCACGGGGGATGTGTTTGTGGGTCAGTGCCGAACCCCGATCTGAGGTGGGCCTCACAAGGGGCAGGCGTCCTTGGGGGCCCTCTGGGCCTGCCTGCCTCCAACATAGACAGTTTGGGTATTGTTTTTAAAAATACATAGTCATGTTATCTACATTTATTTGCAGGTTTTTTTCCTACATAAAAATACCTCACTGCCCTTCCTCCAGTTGGCAGACATGGATCAGAGTCACTCTTTATGTCGCAGCTCAGAGTCAGTTTCTTCTCCATGTCACCTCAGGCCCTTTGCTGTTCCCTAATGGTAGGGTAAAGTACTGGTGTCCTTATGCACATACTCTGGCTTTCACTTGTAGAGAGCCTGCTGGAATAGGGATTGCTTGATCAAAAATAGATACTCATTTTCACTTCTCTAGACACCGCTGGATTTCAAGAGGGCCAGCCTTGCTTTGCGCCACAGTGCACGCCCATGCCTGCCTCCCCCGTGGCCCAGCTCTGAATGTTGGCGTATGTTTTGGCACTGATGGACAAGAGAAACACCGTGTTGGCATCAAGTGAGGCCTGACATCACTTCCCAAGGGTATAGACCTTATGTCTTCTCCTTTCTGAAAATTGCCCCCTTGTAATTTTTACTATGATGATGTGTCTCTTTTTCTCATTAAATGATAGGAAACTTGGTATTTGCACATAACTCAAAATATAATTTAATTTCTTCTTGGCAAGGTTCATAGTATAACATCTTAAAAAGTGTACTAGGTATCCCATTTGGTCACCTTTTGGACTTGATTTACCTAAAGGGCTCATAGGGATCAGACATAAGCAAAATATTGAACAGCATTTTTTTTTTTTTTTTGAGAACTTTAGAAGACTAGGTGAGGAACTGGCTGGAGACGTTAGTAAATGAACCCTCTGCTCCGCAAAGTGTTGAATTAAGCAGTCTGTTGACTTTAAGGTTACCTTGGAGATAGACCACAGAATTTAAAATGCAGTCACTCAAAAAGCAAAATTGCTTGGGAATAAAAGGCAATAATTACTATTACTCTTTCTGCAACTAGAGAGAGAGAGAGAGAGAAAAAAAGACAACTCCCACTCCAAACCTTGAAACCTCAGCAGATACCTGGAGACTCTTGAAATGGTGTTTTGTGATCAAAGTCACAGTCCTTAGGGTAAGCAAACTGCAGGCTCCCTCTCGCTGTGTGTTTTTAAACCTGAGCTACTTTGATTGCTTTTCTGTCTAAACACAATAAACACCCTTGACCTTGAATTATACCGTTAGGAGATAAAAATCTGGTCTCTGGAGGAGTACTAAAAATGAATTCCTTGCTCTCTAGCATTTTAATGAACCGTGTGGCCAGTAACAAATCAATAAAGATGGTATGACAAGCTGTGATTAAGTGATTTTTAGATAAAACCCCCAACATGATCAGCATCACCATGTCAGCTATCTAAAGCCCATCTCGCCGCTGGCTGCACCATGGCTTCGGGATTCATTTGGGCTCATTAGCAGTGACGTTTATTTGGGGAAAGAGCAGACAATAAATTTTATTGCTGTTCTGAGCAGTGGCTTAAAGTATATTCTTAGATGTCAGTCCTTGCATGCTGTATTGAGGAGTCTGCAGTGGAGGCCTCCCGTGGCTTTGATTATTTGGCAAATATCCCCTGTAAGTCTGTAGAGCAGAGCATTGGCCCACGAGCCTCGCTGGTGAGCTCTGCTTCAGCTCCATGGCTCTGCCCTGGGCGGCTGGGAAGACAGGCCGTTCTTCGCTGGTGTCTGTTGCCCTCTGAGAGCCCGCCGGGAAGCAGGTGGAATTCCCAAATCAGGGCAAAGGAAGGTGGTGTTATTTTGCACAGGGGCTGTTTACAAAGGCAGGTGGGATGTAGTTGTAATAGCATAAAAACGTAGGGTCCAGGAATGTGGAGTTGCTGTGGCTAATGCACTGTAAGCGGGTGCGGGCAGGGCGGAGGGAGTGGAGCCGGGAAGGAATCCTGCGAGCAGGTCTGGGAAAAGCAGCGTCCCAGGCTGGGAAATACCCGGGAGGTGACTCTGGGAGGCTGCCAGGGCACTGTCCCCAGCTCTCAGTTTTTTCTGGTGTTTTCTTGAGAAATAACTGGCTTGCAGCACTAAGTTTCAGGCATAGAGCAGAACGGTTTGAGTTACGCTTACTGTGCAGTGACGACCACCAAGGTCCAGCTCACATCCGTGTCGCACATAGATTCAAGGAGGACAGGGAGAAGGAAAGGAATGAAACTTTTGCTTGCGCTGAGTGTTCTGGGGAATTACCACGTCTCACGAAACGGCCAGTGCTGAGTATGTCATACTTCGTTTAAGCTAACTCCTACCTGCTCACACCCAGTCCCCAGAACTCAGTGACTTAACACCTAAGTGTGTTTCTGTCTCACTGCGTGCCTTGCTCGCTGCTCTCGTCCTCTGCCGGCTCCCTGCTTCCCACCCATTCCCCCTTGGGACGGCCCCTCTCAGCGCTTGCCTGGGCGGGGCGTGGTGCCCGCGCTCCTTCCACGTTCCTTCCTGCCCGCAGTGGAAGGTGACATTAGAGGTTGTTGGCTCATCTTGGGGCCTGCGCCGCTTTCTCATCCCACAAGAATGCCCAAGGACAATTTTAAGTTTTGTGTTAAGTCTTGGAGGTTTTAAAATTGTCGCTCCAGGCTCCGGTTTCTTTGTCAACAAATGATCTGAAAGTGGTGCTAAGTGCTTTCACAGTCTGCTTCCAATGTATACCAGTGACCACACCTGGTTGGACTTGCAAATTTTCTGAAACATTGTTCCTTTGCTTTCTCACCCTACATTTCTCAGCTTAATGAGGCTTTTGGGGTTTGGAGGATGGTTCTGAATTTGACCTTTTTTCCCCTCCTATTGGGAATCCTCCTCACGGCAGCGCCCTCCCAAGCAGTGGTGCAGGGAGTCGGCTCCCTCTCCACTTCTCCTGGTCTGACAGCTGCGGGTGAGCTCTCAGGAGGGCCCTGTGGCTCTCACCAGGGCTCCCTCGACTGACATGTGGCCCCACCTTGGCAGGCTGAGAGGTGCAATGTACTGTGTGCAAGGGAGCAAAGAAAAACCACTTTAAATTCCAGAGTCATGAAATGTCAAAGCCAGGAGAATTTTCTTTTTAAGACTTATCTGGTGTTGTGGTTTAAGTTTAGAGATGAGGACACTGAGATGCTAAAAAAGTTGATCTGAAATGAAAATATGAGATCCAGAACTAGACTCTGGTTTTCTTGATGTCAGGTTAGGAGTCTGGGACCTGCCTTTTCTTCATTTCATATGGTTTTTGTACCAATTTCTAAGTCATTAGAACTGAACAACTAGGTTGGCATTCTGAGGTTGCTTTCGCTACATGGATGAATGGTCATGTGGCTGTCAGTGTTCTCTGCCACTCACTTGTTCGTTCAGTGTGCTTGGCCTGTGCTGATGGGGGGCTTGTACACAAGTCCCATCCATCTTGACTTTAAGAAGTCAGAATGTTGGGAAAAACAGATCAGTGAACAAAATATTAATAAAATACTGAAGTACTATAAACAGCTGTGTGCTGACACAGGAGAAGTAGTGCTCTCAGAAGTTGATGTAGAGGGAGGGCTGCTTGAAGCCCCACTAGCTTAAGGCATTGCCAAAAAGTCTTTTTTTTTTTCAGTTTTTTTGTAAGGGACCCAGCCATGGGCTCCAGAGTCTGCAAGCAGCGTTCCCTTGGCAGATTGTGGCCGCAGTTTTCCGTTTCTCAGGCATCATATAGGACTGATAATGCCTTGCCAGCTGGCTGGCTGGAACAATTAATATGCATACGGTAGTAGTCCAAACCCAACTTTTACTAAATGCCCAATAAATACTAGCAATTTTTGTTATTCATAATTTCATTTAAATAATCATGGGTTTCAGAATAATTGAAATGTCACATCATTACTAGTGATAAATTCACTGTCAATACCCATAGTAATTAAAAGTCATGGAAAGAACATCAGTTCCACGTTGGCAAAGACATTCCCAAGCCCTCCCTACCACCATCATGCCATGTTAACAGTCATAGGAATAACAGAGGTGGAGGCATGGATCCAGGGCTTCTATGTTACGCACAGTCACATGGTTGATCTGTCCAAACTTCACAGGAATTCTGGGAGATAGGGACTCTTGTCTCCACTCTCAGGAAGTTGAGATGCAGACAGTTTCAGGACAATGCTCAGAGTGATGGGAAAACCACTAATCCATCCCCGCCAGCCATGCCTGTGGTGCTTTCTGTTCCAAGTGTGGTATGGCTGGATGCGTGCATGGATAGGAATGAGTGAATAAATGAATGTAAGGCCTGAGAGATTGAATATATAATATCATACAATGTAAAAGAAAACGTAAAAATAAGAACAACGAAGGCTTCTGTTACAGGGTGACATGGAATTCTGAAATCAGAAATACATTCCATACATTTTCATAGCCATTGACCTGACCATGGACCTGGTGACCTGCCTAACTCTGCAGGCAGAACTGGACCATGAGGGGAACGTACAGAGATGGTGCTCCACATGAGGACACCACTATTTGTCTCCATCTTCATGCTTGTCTCTAGGAATTTCCATCACTTTTATCCATATCATCGAGGCTAAAAATGTGAGATTGTCCCCCACATTCATAACCCAAACCCTCACCTACACCGACATCTATGACCTTCATCTTTCAGGTTGCTACAGTCTGGAATGACTGGCCAGAGTAGAACTGAAATGTGCGAGTAGACATTTTAAATGGTTTATCCCTTAAATTTCAGGTCTAAACTGGAGAGAATCATCATAGACTTCAGTCTTGCTCCTCATGATTCATTTCTCAAGACTGCTAGATTGATTTGATTTATTTTCCAAAGCTTTTCACCAGTTTCCCACCTGCTGGGCAAAATTCATGCTTGGCTTAGACCTGGGAGATGTGGTCCCTGCTTATCTTTGTTCCTGTCTCTCTCGGTCTCTCTCCCTCCCTTTGTCTCTCTTTTTTGTAACCAAATATTTATTTAGCTTTTGTTATAGACCACATGGTCTCAAAGGATGTTGGGTATATAGAAATGAAGAAAAAACAGGCAATATTATGGAGGACAGGGCCTCCCTGGTGGCGCAGCGGTTGAGTGCTGGGTTGCGAAGCTGCCTGCAGCCTCTGCAGCGCCAGTTCGATCCCCGGCTGCCAGGCGAGAGTCCCACATGGCATACAGACCTCTCCTTCCACGCCCGCTGCTCCCCTCAGCAGTGTACTTCGGTCCTTCTGCCTGCTCTGCTCCCCGCTCTGGCTCTGGTGAATTCTCTCACCCTCCCGTGCTTCTGACTGTACCCAGTGCTTGTATAAATAAATAAATAAATCTTTAAAAAAAAAAAAAAAAAGAAAATAAAGAGTCCTGAACTAATTAAGAGGAGATTATCTAAAAAATATATATATATTATGGAGGACAGCTAAAACTTCATTATAAGACTTTTAAAATAATGTAGAGCTATGTCATATACATGTTTTGGGATAGTGTAAAATTCTCATTATTCTATAGAGATCAGTTATCTCCAAATTGATCTATAGATTCAGTTAAATTCTGTCTATTTTTATATTTTGGCATGATTTTTTGGAATTTGCCAAAAAGATACTAAATTTATATGTTAAAGCAAATGACAAAGAATGTCCAAGTTGCTCATGGAAATGATAAGAATAAAGGATTTCCCTTACTAAGTAAAATAGAGAAATATATGTTGCTGTAGTGACTGAGATTATTTTACATTCTTAGGAGGATAGAAATTTGGATAGAATAGCAGTACTAGACAAGGATCCAAGACATGTGAAAACTCATTTTGCAACATTGTTAAAATGTTGTTAGATCATAAGCAAAATAATTTACTCTAAAATACGGTGCTTCCACGGTTAGTTATCTTCATAGAAAAAACAAACATTGGACCCCATTTCACACTATGTCTAAACACATCAGTTCTACTTAGGTCAGTCTACAAGAGAGAATCTTGGAGTACATCTTTCCAGTCTCAGGAAGTAAAGAGGGTTAACCTTTCACTGGTGCACACCAGACAGAGAAAGATCAATACTTATTTGGATTAACTTGAAGAACTTCAGTGTGTCAAGAGAGTCCATATGTAAAAGGTCAAAAATTGGGAGGCAATATCTAAAATCTGCAAATGTATAACTGAAAAGATAATATCTGGCATTATAAAGTAATAAACAGTTAGAAAAAAACCTCAAATGCAATAGGACAATTTGCAGATATCACGAAGATGCAAACTGAAACCCCAAGCAGATGCCACGTGTAAATATTGGCAAACTTTA